TCGAGGCCCCAAAATTTAGGGTACGAAGGTCTAGTCCACTGCCAGGTCCATGTAAGACCACTAGAGTTTGTTTTGTTTTATTGGACTCTGGACCTGAACCAGATCAACAACGAGGAATGAAATTTTCATCGGAGAGATAGATATTTACTGAAAAAAAAAAAAGAGAGAGGAAGAGAGATAGATCTGGGCTTAAAGATTTTTTTATAACATTGGGCCTAGCTATAGCACCATATTTTATCGGCCCTCTAAAAAACTTTTCCTCGGAGTTCTGCTTTGCATGCTACTAGGGATTGCGCAGCTATGGCGACTCCTTTCTGTTGAAATAACACCTCCACCTCCACACTGGGACTGTTAATCAATAATCACCGCCTTTACTCTCCTTTTATTGTTATTATTATTATTATTATTATTATTATTATTATTATTTATTTATTTAAAATAAATTGATGTAGATTCAGTATAATTCCGTTGTGAAATTAATTTGTGGACGAGTAAAGGGGACAATTATAGTATTTGCTTGGAATATGCTTCCCTTTTCCATAAATAAAAAAAGAGCAATAAAAGACATGAAATTTACGCCAAAAATCCAATCTTTACAGAAAATAATGGTCCCAAAACAAAAGTTTCGAATTTGATAAAAGAAATTTAATTCCAAACTGGATTTATTACAACTTCACATTTCTCAATCCTCTTACCGCCACATTTTCTCCCTATGTTTTTGTTTCGCTCCAAAAAGTCTTCACCTTTATAGCTTCCCCTGATTCCAAATTCTACCAAGCTCGTGTCATATATTATTTAGACGGCTTCCTGGGCCAATCCCCATTTCTCCATCTTTCTCTGCGTCAGTTTCCAGAGAAAATTGCAGAGGTAGATACAACTATACAAGGTAAAAGGTAGTCATGATGGTGTCTAGTGAGGAATGTTTGGTGAGTGCTTTTCAAGAGTCGACGAACGTGAAGAAAATATTATCTGGGTTTTTGTTTGGTTGCTGAGAAAAGTACGAAAAAAAAAAAAAGCTTGTTACTTTTCAATTCTATCTAGATATACCTGGGTTTGGCTTGCTTGGATTGAAGGTGCTTCCTCTTGTTTGTTTTCTGAGAACTCAGCAAAAGTTTGAGATTATTTTTGTTTTTCTATTTTGGTTGTATAAAGTTATACGTTTTCTCTGCAACCAAACGGAAAATTATTGGTTTTTTTCTTTTTTATCTCAGGTTTTGATCTTTTCTCTTTTTTACCAGTTTCAGTGTGGCTTGACAGTTCACCTAGGCATTTTTCAGCTTCTGTTTTGCTGTTTGACTATGACTTAGCTGCGATCCCCTTGTTTGGTTACTGAGAAAACTAAAGGAAAGGAGGGGAATCTAAAATTTGAAGAATTTCATTGATTCTCTAAATCTGTAGTTAGTTTCTGGGATTATTAATTAAATCAAAGCTTTTCCCCAGATCTTTTCTGTTACAAGTTGTTCACTTTTTGTTTTCTTCATGTTAATCTCTTTTTGACACATTGGCTTCAATCATGCCTGCCAGATTTTTACCAGCAACTGATGGAGAATACTGGAGGTGGTTCTTTTCTAAGAAATAGAAGATTAGAGAGCTTCCTCCATACAAATTCTGTCCCAAATGTGAGGGAAACCCGGAAAAATTCAGGGAAGGAAGTAGCAGTGCAGAGGCCTCTGAAAGATGTTTATGTTGATGATGATGGATGGATATCGGCACTGATATCTTGTGTGAGGATCGTCACCTGTTTTGTTGTAATGATGGTTACGACATTCATCTGGGCGTTGATTATGCTTGTGCTCCTGCCCTGGCCTTACCAGAGAGTCCGGCAAGGAAATATCTATGGCCATGTGACTGGTAGATTGATGGTATGCATCTCTTGATTCCTAGAAAATTTGGAAGTAGATTCTTTTGGTATTTGGTTTTTTAAAACATTTTATGAACATGAAAGGAAATCAGTTGGTGCTTTTAGTTGTTTCTGAATTTCTTTTGGTTGCTGGTAAACATGAGGGAAAAAACAAAGAAAGAAAAGAAATTGGGGAAACTTAGCTTTTTTTGCTTCATTTCTCGGAAAGCCATTTCTACATGGACAAAGTACAAGTTCATCTGTTTGCTGTTTCAGGGAAAATTTTATGATTTCTTCTTACCTCAGCAATCAAAAGTTTCCTCCTTTTTGACAAATTTCTTTGAGCTGTTTGTTTCATTTAAATTTCTCATTCATTTATTTTGGTAGCTGAAACATCTCAAGCAAATTTAAGAAGATGGTACATTCATCAGAGGATAAGCTTTGTGAGTGTAGATATGTAGATACTGTTCCCAGATATGTGGTCAAAGCTTGGAATTAATTTTGGTATGCTATCTCAAGAAGATTTATTGAGTTCAGAAAGTGCTCATTTATTCTTATTCTCCTTTCATTTATGTTATCCTGAAAAGAGATAAGTTGGGGGGCGGCTTATGGATTGGGTGGTCAATTTGATAGTATTTGGATAGTGAAATGGAATAAAACATTGGATATTGCTGCATTGGGAAGAAAAGTGGCGACTTTAATGAAACCTAGGTGACATGATTTGGCGGCTTCATAGGAGTTGTTCAACCTCGGTTCTGACACCTAAAGAAAACTTATGATTTCAAAGTAAAATCCACAAATTTACACACAGCGCTTGTACATAGTTAAGGTACTTTACAGTTGACACTGCAAATTGGAAGAATTGCAACACTTTAGTTTTTGAAGGTAAATTTGATTTGTGTAAATATGTTCGTCTAATTTTGGGATTTTTTTAAAGTAGAGGAGTCAACGACATTCTAAACATTAACATACAGATAGTTGGTGATAGCCTGATACTTTTATATTCAATAATGTTTAATTCACTTTCCTGGTAGATAATTGGAATTTTGAATGTTTATTGATTGTAGATGTGGATCTTAGGAAATCCAGTGAAGATTGAAGGAACTGAGTTCTCTAATAAGAGGGCTATATATATCAGTAATCATGCATCTCCCATAGACATTTTCCTCATAATGTGGTTGACTCCAACAGGCACTGTTGGCATTGCAAAGAAAGAGGTGAGTATTACCACTATAATTTATGTATCCTAGATTTGCTCAAAGGCTTTAACTAGCAAGGTTTCCCTAACAACCTGCTTTGCAAAAAATGTACATCTTCTGCATGCAATTTGAGATGAAAAGTTGAAGATTTAAACAATTAGATAGTCCCTAAGTCCTATTATGCATATATTTTAGTGGCCAACATGAAATTCGGATTCACCAAAGGTAGCTTTGCTTTACACAGATCATATGGTATCCCCTCTTTGGTCAACTATATGTTTTGGCTAATCATCTTCGCATAGATCGTTCCAACCCAGCTGCAGCTATTCAGTCCATGAAAGAGGTACCATTCCCCTCCTCTACATCATCTGTCACAGGCTTCTGTATATATTTCTAACTCACCCTTCTCATGCTCAGGCTGTAAATGCTGTTATCAAAAACAAACTGTCATTGATCATTTTTCCAGAGGGTACCAGGTCCAAGAATGGGCGACTTCTTCCCTTTAAAAAGGTAACATTTGAACCCTGTCTTACATATTATTTTCTTTCTAATGTATGGAAATGGGGGAAAAAATAGTAGAGGTACAAAAACAACACAATGGATTGCTAGGCCTTAATTTGGGGTATTTTGGTGAGCATGTAAATCAGCACAATGACATAGTTTTCACTTTCCTCCGTTCATGTGTTCTCAAACCATTGAGGAAGGCGGATTGGAGAGCAATTGCAACTTAATGATTAGCCTAACTTCACTAATTATGGTTCTGAATAACCTTATTCATGTCCAAGGGCTTCTTCTGCTTTGTGCTAATTGCGATAGCAATTGTTATTCATTCCATTCTTATTCCATTTTGCAGGGTTTTGTTCATTTGGCCTTGCAGTCACGTCTTCCTATAGTTCCAATGGTCTTAACAGGCACCCATTTAGCCTGGAGGAAAGGTAGCTTACATGTTCGACCAGCACCAATAACTGTAAGGTATCTCCCTCCCATAAGCACTGATGACTGGACAGCAGACAAGATTGATGACCACATAAAAATGGTACATGACATATATGTCGAAAACCTTCCAGAGTCTCAAAAGCCCATCATCTCAGAAGCTCCCAGAAATAGTTCAAGATCATAGTTGAGATGACTCTTTGTAATTTTCAGTCTCATAAAATTCCCATGTAAAATCAACACTAAGCACTAGCAAATCCTTTGCTTAGGTTAGAATAAATATTAATTCATACATAATATTTGCTAATTCTCCTGGAATTTGCCTGATCAAGCTCATTTTAGCATAGGTCTGAGTGTCATGTATAATTGACATCATAAGTTTACAACTGCTCAATATGTTGGAATTTTTTCCCCC